ACAATTTAAAACTATTTAAAAGGCATTACAATAATATAAAACATCCACAAAATGTTTACCTGTAACCTTAGATTAAATCAAATACATAACTATGATTTCGTGCGTATCATATATTTTATTGTCCTTGGACGCAATTAAAAATGACAGTCGCGGGATTACTTTTGGAGAGGTTAACACTTGAAGGTTTGGGAGTCCAGGTTGAAATCATTTACTCAAAGGCAGCGAAGCAATAGTTCCTAGTGTTGTGGAAATATCCAACCCGTTGAGTCTGTTCTTAGCTGTGTTTAGTGCATGTGGAATGGTTAAAGCAAGTAGCTTCATTAAGAGAGGTTTCTTGTAGGGCAGCGGTTCTCAACCTATGGGTCGCGACCCCATTTGGGGTCGATCGACCATTTTTGGGGGGTCGCCAAAGAAGGCGATCTGCCATTTTCCCTTCCATCAGGATCTCTTTTCCTTCCATCAGGATCTCTGATCTCCACAGTGGAGGACTATGTCGTAATTGGAGAAAAGAAGCAGAATTAATGGACATCACACCACACAAAATGGATTCTAGTTCTCTGAATACAACCTCAAAGTCCCCAATACTCTATGGCAGTGTTTCCCAAACTTGACAATTTTAAGGCATGAGGACTTCAACTCCCAGAACGTTTGTGTGACGGGGGTCGCCGTCACACAAACGTTGAGAACCACTGTTGTAGGGGAAGACGGATATCTCACCAAGCATTCAAGAGTTCTGATGAGTCAGAAATGCAGATGTGATAACATTTCAAGATATGTAGAAGACATATGGGAAAACATGCCAAAAATAATGAGAATAATCTTAAAAGAACAATGCCGGCCTTATTATCCAATCTTATTAAAGGTCTACTGATTGATTATGAGCTATCACGTCTGTAGAAATTCTTTACAATTACAGAGACCGGTTTTCTCCAGGGAGATCTGTTCCTAAACTGATCCTTCAGCGATTCCAGAGATGTATCATCTCATAGAATATAGAACATTAGAGTTGGAAGGAACTTTGGAGGTCTAGTCCAGTCCCTGGCTCAAGCAGGATGCCCTATACCAGGGGTAGGCAACCTTGGCTCTTTTATGACTCATGGACTTCAATTTCCAGAATTCCTGAGCCAGCTATACTCAGGAATTTTGGGAGTTGAAGTCCATGAGTCATAAAAGAGCCAAGGTTGTCTACCTCTACCCTATACCATTTCAAACAATTGACTGTCCAGTCTCTTGTTAAGAGTCTCCGGTGATGGAGCATCCATTGTATAGAGTACTTTATTGGCCAAGTGTGATTAGATACACAATGAATTTGTCTCATGCAGAAGCACTCAGTGTACGTGCAAAGCAACAGAGTAATCATAATACCAATAAGGGGGGAGTAAAGACATTAATACTACAGCCATATAACATGGGTAAATATATTTAGATGTAAGACAGCATTGTGAAAAGTAGGTGTTCAGGTATCTGGATCCATCCATCTTTTTGCTGATCATCCTGTTCTCGTCCACCTTTTTAGGCATTAGAGCCTTTTGTCTTCGCATACAGATGTAGGATGAGTGGAAATTTGCCTAGTTTTTACTTGGAGCTATGACTCCCCTTCAGTTTGAGAATCTGGTGCCCTACTAACTTATCAATAAATAGCGTCTTTTGTAAGCTATGAATTAACTTTTTATTAGTTGTGTCTTTGCCTGCTAGAAAAAACATTTAACATCTTTCAGCAAGAGCCAGAGGAGTCAATCAGAAACATTCCATGGTTGACCACAAATGTCTCCTGTACAGACTAGCTTACAGGTTGTGCCTTTGACACCCAGTTGAAATACATTACAAGCCTAATCCCAGCCTATTACTGGGATTAAGCAAGATGATGCGACCCATAGTTTAAGCAATGGTTAGAGGCATCTGCAAAAACAGTCTGGAGGGAAGCAACGTTTATCATTGGTGTAAAAAAAAACAAAACACGTCACCCTGACAATGTATATGATAATAAAGTAGAATTAAACAATGTAGTGGTGGAATACTTCAAGGTTCTATTATGGGCCCAGTACTTTTAGTCATAAATGATCTCTAGACGAGGGGATAGGAATGTTAACATCCAGCTTGAGAATCCAAATAAAACTCCAGGTTCATTCCGTTCCTGAAACTCTTACTGTTTATTGAATACACTGCATGGTACTGTCGAACCAAAACTAACTCTGAGGTTCCAACACCAATTCATAGATTTAATATTTTTCCCAGCCAAACCTCCATATAAACAAGTTCACTTTGTTATGGGAACCATCTGCTTCAAATCTACATCTATTCTGCTGTCCTTGAAAAGGCTTCAGGGTCTCAAGGTCTTCAGCTGAATCATAGAAAGTTCATTTCTCCATCCAATCCACTTGAAAGTAACACCTGCCCTACTTAATCTAAAGGCAAGTTGAAACGTAGAGGCACATAGCTGCCAAAGTTTCATCCTTGACAAGGAACTCATTACTTTTGCAGATGGCATCTAGCTTGGGGAAATTGCTAACCCTTTAGAAGATAGACTTGAGATTCAGAAGGATCTTAGCAGGGTTGAGCATTGGGCCCTGACCAATAAGATGCTGTTTAGTGGCGAGAAAAATAAGATCCTGCAGTTTAGAGAGGAAAAATCAAGTGCACAGGTATAGAATAGGAGTTATTTGGCTCAACCATACTAAATGAAAGAGATCTAGCTGTCCTTGTGGACCACCATTTTAAGTATGAGCCAGCAGTGCGCTGCAACTGCTAAAAAAGCCAATGCAGTCATAGGTTGCATTGACAGATAGTATCCAGATCATAAGCAATAACACTGCTTTGTACTGCACTGATAAAGCCACACCTTTGCAGACAATACCAGGAGTAGCCAACACCCCAGAAGACAAACTCAGGATTCAAAAAGATCTTGACAAATTTGAACAATGGACCCTATCCAACAAAATGACTTTCAATATGGAAAAACGCAAAGTTTCACATTTAGGCAGGAAAAATCAAAGGTACAAGTACAGATTAGGCAAAACCTGGCTCACAAACAGTAACTGTGAGAGGGACCTTGGAGTCCTAGTGGACAATCACTTGACTATGAGCCAGCAACAATCAAAAAAGCTAAAACAATCCTGGGTTGTATAAACAGACATAGAATCAACATCAGGTGAAGTATTAGTACTGCTTTAAAAAACCTAGTAAGACCACACCTGGAAAACTGCAGCCAACGTAGGTCAACATATCACAAAAAAAGATGTTGAAAGTTTAGAAAAAATACAGAGAAGAGCAACTAAGATGATCAAAGGCCTGGAGATTAAAACATACGAAGAAGGGCTGCAGGACTTGGGTTTGGCTAGCCTAATGAAAAGAAGAAATGGGGGAGACATGATAGCAGTATTCCAGTATTTGAGGAGCTGCCACAAAGAAGAGGGGATCACATTATTTACCAAAGCACCAAAAGGAAGGACAAGAAACAAGAGTTGGAAACTGATCAAAGAGAGAAGCAACCTGGAATTAAGGAGAAACTTCCTGACAGTGGTGACAATCAACAGTGGAATAGCTTGCCTCCAGAAATCGTGGGCGCTCCATCACTGGAGATTTTAAAGAAGAGACTAGACAGTCACTTGTCTGAGATGGTATAGGTCAGGAGTAGGCAACCTTGGCTCTTTTATGACTTGTGGACTTCAACTCCCAGAATTCCAAGCTGGCTCAGGAATTCTGGGAGTTGAAGTCCACGAGTCATAAAAGAGCCAAGGTTGCCTACCCCTGGTATAGATTCTCCTTCCTGCTTGAGCAGGGGGCTGGACTAGAAGACCTCCAAGGTCCCTTCCAGCTCTAATCTAATCCTAATCTAATCTAATCTAATCTAATCTAATCTAATCTAATCTAATCTAATCTAACCACTTAGAACACTGCATCTAGCCCTGTTCACAATACGAAAAAGATGGAAAGACCCTAAAAAAGAGCAAAGAGAAGAGCAAAAAAGACGATAAAGGGTCTAGAGAGACTGGACGGCTAAGGGCTAGGCTTAGCCTATTAAAGAGAATGCTTGGGGTAACATGATGGCTATCTTCCACTACTTGAAGGACTGCAAGTAAACGGAAGCTGGTCAAGAGAGATTCAACCGGGAAATAAGGAGAAACAATGATAACAATCAATCAATGGAACAGCTTGTCTCCTGGAGTCCTGACTAGTCCATTGCTATAGACTTTTGAGAAAATATTTGTCCATTTGTCCAGGATGGTATAAAGCGGGGGTTCTCAACCTGTGGGTCGGGACCCCATTTGGGGTCGAACGACCATTTCACGGGGGTCGCCAAACAACGCAGTCTGCCATCCTTTCCCCCCTTTTCCTTAGCTGTGCTACTCCCTTTTATTCTATTGGCTTTTGAAAGCCAATAGAATAGACTCTCTCGAATAAAGTCTAATTCTATTGGCTTTCAAAAGCCAATAGGAATTGTCCAGGCTGTCTCTGCCCTGCTGAGCCCGCCAAAAGTCCCATTCTGCAAACGGTGCTGCACCAGTTGAGTAGTCCTCGACTTACGACCGGTTGAGTAGTCCTCGATTTACGACCGGTAGGGGGGTCGCGACATTAAAAAGGTTGAGAACCACTGGTATAAAGTCTCCTGCCATGAGCAGGGGGGGGATTGGACTAGAAGATCTCCAAGGTCCCTTCCAGCCTTATGATTCGACGATCCCTTGAAAAGAGAAGGATGGATACATTTAAAGCAGCTGGATTGAGAAGATTCTGGATTGGGAGTGTGTGGGAACAACAATTTCCTTCTTCTTGCCCCTCCCTCCGTGGAAAATGGTCCCTTTCTCACTCTCACGGCATGGGCAGTTGCATTGCAAGCAGGATCCACCAGGGGGCTCCCTCTGCCAAAGGAAAGCAACACCGGGAGCTTTCCCAATTGGAGGGCGAACGTCACAGCTGGCTTGCAGAGGAGGCGTGGCATCCCTGAGCCGTGCCTCTCTAGGACGCTGCACTCGCTCTCCTTAACCCTTCTAGCTCCGCCGGAGGCGAGGCTGCGGGAGCGTCTCGCGGGGAAGAGATTCACACGTGTCTTTGGTGGGTGGGTGGGGGGCTCTTCCCGTGGAAAGGGAGGCGCGGAGGAGGGTCCCATGTTCCCCAGCCACCCGGGTCCCATGTTCCCCAGCCACCTTCTCCATGCAGTGGGGAAGCGGAGCTCTAGAGCAGCAGCAGCAGCAGAAGAAGAAGAACCGGGGATTCCAGGAAGGGGGCGGGGATCTGGGGAATTCCTTTCCGGCCCTACTCGGGGTGTGGGGGGGAAACCTCCGCTCTGCGCTTGGCTGACCCGGTTGGGCTGCTGACAGGTTGTGTGAACCTGCCTGCGTGTCAAGAAAGCGACACGGATCTCCAAAGGTCACCCAGAAGAAGGAAAAGGAGGCATCTCCAGCCAGGGTCGTTTCCTGCTTTTCCTTGGATGGGAACTGAGCTTTCATGGTTTGTTCACCTGTTTTGGACTCTTGGCAGGTTTCTAATTTCTTGCATTTTATTTTATTCATTCTAGGTTATGCTACATACCATAATATACTGTATGTACTGTATACTAACTATATACCATATGCTATATACCAGGAATAGGCAACCTTGGCTCTTTTATGACTCGTGGACTTCAACTCCCAGAATTCCTGAACCAGCATGGCTCAGCATGGAAACCTCTCCCTTTCCCCTCAGCATGGCTGGCTCAGGAATTCTGGGAGTTGAAGTCCATGAGTCATAAAAGAGCCAAGGTTGCCTACCCCTGCTATATACAGATATGCTATACATGCTATATAGCAGGGGTAGGCAACCTTGGCTCTTGTATGACTCGTGGACTTCAACTCCCAGAATTCCTGAGCCAGCCATGCTGAGGGGAAAGGGAGAGGTTTCCATGCTGAGCTATGTTGGTTCAGGAATTCTGGGAGTTGAAGTCCATGAGTCATAAAAGAGCCAAGCTTGCCTACCCCTGCTATATACTGATATGCTATATATGCTATATAGCAGGGGTAGGCAACCTTGGCTCTTGTATGACTCGTGGACTTCAACTCCCAGAATTCCTGAGCCAGCCATGCTGAGGGGAAAGGGAGAGGTTTCCATGCTGAGCCATGCTGGCTCAGGAATTCTGGGAGTTGAAATCCACAAGTCATACAAGAGCCAAGGTTGCCTACCCCTGCCATATACTATGCTATGTACACCATATTATACATTATACCATAGTATCCTCTTTCTAATTCTTCCCATTTATTTTCCATGGTCAGATATACAAACTGGAAGCCATTTGGTAACGTCTTCCCATAGAGACGAAAATCATCTCCTGGGTTAAGGAGGCTTGCCAAGGCCGGTCCTGGGACATTAGAAACGATCCTATGAATGAATGAAAAGGCTTTTGGAGATCCACACGATTGCTTGGACCCAATTGGAGTTGCCTTACAGGGTCAGAGACAGAATGGAGACGCAACTTTTAGCGAGTGAAGCAACTGGCAAAGGCGACGGGGAGACCCGGACAGGAGCTGGGCAGAAGATCCTGGAAGAGGAATCCATCATCTCTTCAGAAGTTCAGTCCCGCAACTTCAGGAGCCTCCAATACCAGGCGGCGGAGGGTCCCCGAGGACTTTGTGGCCGACTCCATGACTTTTGTAGGCGATGGCTGAGACCCGAAAAGCACACCAAAGCCCAGATGCTGGACCTGGTTGTTCTGGAGCAGCTCCTGGCCCTTCTGCCCCCAGAGATGGAGAGCTGGGTGCGGGAGTGTGGAGCAGACACCAGCTCCCAGGCGGTGGCCCTGGTGGAAGGCCTTCTCCTGAGCCAGGCAGACGAGCAGAAGGAGCAAACTGAGTTGCAGGTGAGAATCCAGAAGGGGGTTGAAGGAAATAAAGATTATGTTTGAATTCTTCACTTCTCCCTCCCAGATTCCTAGTATTCCATGTCTCACTAATTCTTGTAGGACTTTGTTCCATTCATGTCTCGCTCAGCCTCATTGATGGAGATGGTGGGCTTTGATGTTGTGTTCACACAACAAGTATCCACTTCACGTTGTGTGATGTCTTCTTATTTTTTCCCCCCCTCCTGCGTATATTCCAAGTCCTTTCCTGTGGAGGAGATTAGCGATCTTGAGGGAAGGATGAGTCTACCAGATCCCTCTCAGGAGCTGTTTTTCGGGAGGATCTCTCCGGAAGATCCAAGTCAGGATGCCTCAGAAGGTAATCCCAATCCCCAGAAAAATCCCCTCTGTCTAACCTTCTTTATGTCTTCTCTTCTGTAGAATACCTTCTCCTATTTTGTTAATTACGCGTTTTAAAATTCTGTATTTCTCACAGAGAAACATAGAATGAAGTTTTCTGGTCTTTCTGGTAGAGCTGAAATGCTGATTGAATCTCCAAATCAAGTAAGAGGAGCAAATTCATTTATTAATTTGTATTCTCCTTTCAAACTGGAACACGTAGCTCTCTTCCTGTCCATTTTTCTCCCGTTTTCCTTTGGATATGTGACTGAGCAACATAGAACGGCCAATAGAAGATTCAAACTTCTCTCAGTTATCTTAGCTTCTCTAACGTACATTGTTGGGGCAAAATTGTTTGCAATATTACCTTGAGATTCTTAATGGATGTTTTTAAGATCAGGACTTAACTCCATTTGCTTGTTATTCTTCCTACTATTAATAGACAATTACTATTTTTTAAAAAAACTCATTCAAGAGTTAGGAATAACATTGTTACTCGTTGCAATCCCAAAGATGCTTGTTCTTCATTTCAAGAAGTTCTTGGATAGTTACTTTGTAACGGAAGAAGAATAGAGAAAAATAAGAAATGATATTAATAAATGTTTATTGAATATGTTAAGGAAAAAGGTAATGGGGAGACTCCCGAAGTGTTAACTATGTACTCAGATTAGAAATATGGAATATAGTAATTGAAATAAGTAAACTTCATACAGGATCTGGATTTGTGGATCTATTTAGATCAGTGTTTCTCAACCTTGACAATTTTAAGGCATTTGGACTTCAACTCCCAGAATTCCACAGCCAGCAATGCTGGCTGTGGAATTCTGGGAGTTGAAGTCCACATGCCTTAAAATTGTCAAGGTTGAGAAACACTGATTTAGATGAAAGGTTATTGAGGATTGATAGGATTGATCTAGTTGTATTGAAATATATCAATTTGAATATAATATGTTATTAGAGGGAAAAGAGACGGGTTTTTTTTAATGATTGAATTTTATGAGTATGACTTTGTTATGTGGATAATTGATTGCCCTGCCACCACGCTGTTTCGTAAGCACTTGTCTGTAAAATGAAAAAACCAATAAAACTTGTCTTTTAAAAAAAAGAAGCTTCTTGGATGAGAAGCAAAACATCTTCAAAGAAAAACAAGAAAGTCCAATTGCCCTGGGGTGGGGGGAAGCATCTTTGGGATAACTATGACTTGGGGAACTGAGAATTTCCATAGATCAGTGGTTCTCAACCTTTTTAATGCTGCGACCCCCCAACCGGTCGTAAGTCGAGGACTACTCAACCGGTCGTAAGACGAGGACTACTCAACTGGTGCAGCACCGTTTGCAGAATGGGACTTTTGGTGGGCTCAGCAGGGCAGAGACAGCCTGGACAATTCCTATTGGCTTTTGAAAGCAAATAGAATTAGACTCTATTCAAGAGAGTCTATTCTATTGGCTTTCAAAAGCCAATAGAATAAAAGGGAGTAGCACAGCTAAGGAAAAGGGGGGAAAAAATGGCGGACTGCGTTGTTTGGCGACCCCCGTGAAATGGTCGTTCGACCCCAAATGGGGTCCCGACCCGCAGGTTGAGTACCACTGCCATAGACAGTATTTGCAGTTATTAAACTTTTTCTAATTCTTTGACTTGGAATTGTGCAAAAGATAACTAAACACTGACATTGGCACACTGCCATTTTTAAAACAACCAGTAATTTAAAAAAAAAAAAATAAGCACAACAGATTAAAAGATAAGGCAAACCATTAAACTTGAATGACATTGGCCAGATAAAGAACTCTCCAAGGAGAAACTTCCTGACAGCGAGAACAATTAACCAGTGGAACAGCCTGCCTCCAGAAGCCGTAAATGCTCCAACACTGGAAGTTTTTAAGAAGAGACTGGACAGCCATTTGTCCGAAATGGTGTAGGGTTTCCTGGCTGAGCAGGGGGTTGGACTAGATGACCTCCAAGGTCCCTTCCAACTTTACTACTATTACTATTACTAAGAATGTCCCAAAGGCGCTTTTTCAAAAGGCTTCTTGGATGAGCAGTGAAATGTCTTCAAGGAAAAACAAAGAAAGTTCAATTGTCTTTACCTAGTCCTAGATCAGGGCTTTTCAATCTTTTTCACCCATTGTACCACTTTTGGGATATGGCAACATCCAAGTACCACCGGTCCCCTAGCAAGGTGTAAAAAACTTGAGGACCCCCCCCAAAAGGAAAAAAAGTGATAAAGTACAGGTAGTCCTCGACTTACAACAGTTCGCTTAGTGACTGTTTGAAGTTACAATGGCACTGAAAAAAGTGCCCCCCAAGCCACAGCCGAGCAAGACACCTGCCTGCCCACCCGGCGGTGCTCTTCCTCCTGTCCGAGGTTTTCATTGTTGTGAGCATTTCTATTGAGGATTGGCAGCGGGGGTGGGGTGGGGGGGGTTAGTTTTTATTCCCCCCCCCCGACTGCTGGGTGGTTGCAACAGGTTTTGGTCACTTCACATGACCCTGGGACGCTGTGACCGTCATAAATATGAATCGGTTGCCAAGCATCTGAATGTAAATCACAAGACTCTGGAGATGCTGCAAATATTCCAGCTGATCGTTGCTTCTTCAGGGCTCAGCAGAAGCACCAGGATCAGCGTCAAGCTCCAGCTACAGCCTGGTGCTGATCCTGGCACTTCTGCTGAGCCCTGACAGCCCTGTAGCTCCAGCCGTCTCTCGCTCAGGCTTGTGCGATGCTGCCACCGGTTCAGCTCATTCCCCTCCCCTGCTCCCACTTTTCTAGGATGGTCGCGTACCACCTGCCAGGTGCCAATGTACCACAGGTGGTACCCGTACCGCTGGTTGAAAAGCCCTGTCCTAGATGACTGAGAATCTCCATACCCAGAATGGTTCTGCAAGAATCAAGGGACCTTTGGTCTGCAAAGTAATTTGTAGTCCTCTGATTTGTGCCTGAATTTGATGAATAGGGCAGGAGTGGCAAAAAATATATGAAGAGCGGTTGCAGGAATTGGGTATGTCTCGTTTAATGAAAAGAAGAACTAGGGGTGATGTGATAGTTGTGTTCCAATATCTCAGGGGTTGCCACAAAGAAGAAGGGGTCAAGCTATTCTCCAAAGCACTTGAGGGGAGGACAAAAAGCAGAGGAATGGATGGATGACAACTAATCGAGGAGAGAAGCAACTTAGAACTAAGGGGAAATTTCCTGACAGTGAGAAAAATTAATCAGTGGAACAACTTGCCTCCAGAAGTTGTGGATGCTCCCAACACTTGAAGGTTTTAAAGAAGAGACTGGACAACCATTTGTCTGAAATGGTGTAGGGTTTTCGCTGCTTGAGCAGGGGGTTGGACTAGAAGACCTCTAAGCCAGTGGTTCTCAACCTGTGGGTCGGGACCCCATTTGGGGTCGAACGACCATTTCACGGGGGTCGCCAAACAACGCAGTCCGCCATTTTTTTCCCCCTTTTCCTTAGCTGTGCTACTCCCTTTTATTCTATTGGCTTTTGAAAGCCAACAGAATAGACTCTCTTGAATAGAGTCTAATTCTATTGGCTTTCAAAAGCCAATAGGAATTGTCCAGGCTGTCTCTGCCCTGCTGAGCCCGCCAAAAGTCCCATTCTGCAAACGGTGCTGCACCAGTTGAGTAGTCCTCGAGTTACGACCGGTTGAGTAGTCCTCGACTTACGACCGGTTGGGGGTCGCGGCATTAAAAAGGTTGAGAACCACTGCGCTAAGGTCTCGTCCAACTCTGTTATTCTGCTAGAAAAAACTGCCCCCTTCTGTTCTACTTCTGGAAACACAGGAAGGATTGACGTCACAGAGGTGGCGATTCCAATGCTCATCTGCCGGTTGATTTTCTCCGTATGCTGAAAGTCTTTTGGGGATGGATGGATGGACAGAGCAATCAATCAATCAATCCAGTAGGATTACTTTCATTGAATGGGACTGAAAGTTCCATGGAATCAATGAAGTTCATAAAATCTGGTCTTCAATCAAAGACTTTTGGCTCTGTCCATTTTTTTCACTTAAGTTTTTTTTATTATTATTATTATAAATTTTTAGAATTTTACAATAAAAACCCCTTCCCCAATCCCTCCCAACCCACCCCAAAAACCCTCCCCCATTCTTCCCAGAGCTGAATACAGGGTTAACTAGAACTTAAAAAAAAAAAAAACTTTTAAACCCCCAAAAACCTTAAACAAATATAATTACATTCGATAAACTAATTATTAAATACTTTAACTCCATTATATATAAAAAACAGAAAGAGAAAAAAAAAGAAAAAAAAGAAAATAAATAAATAAATAAATAAATAAATAATAATAATAATAATAATGATAACATCCACATCTGCCTATCCCAGGTCCTGGGTAAGGACTCGATAGGTAGACAAAATGCCAAATCCAGTCTGAACATCTGGCTGACTGTGCGATGATCGATAATAATAATAATAATAATAATAATAATAATAATAATAATAATAATAATAAAACCCACAAAAAATCTTAAACTTTCATTGAATGGTACTGAAAGTTCCATGGAATCAATGAAGTTCATAAAATCTGTTCTTCAATCACAGACTTTTGGCTCTGTCCATTTCTTTCACTTAAGTTTTGAAATCCTACCAAGCACAGTGATTTAGCTTAGTGTATAACTTTGCTTTAGGAGTACTGAAGCATTCCATATTTTGTAAATTCTCCCTGGGTCTGTTCTGCTTTTCCCCCTCCCCTTATTCAGGAGGGTCTTGAGTCCTTCGAGGAAGTAGCGGTGTGTTTCTCCGAGGAGGAGTGGTCTCAGCTGGATCCTGACCAAAAAGCACTGCATTGGGAAGTCACGATGGAAAATTATAGGAACATGGCCTCTCTGGGTAAGACTTTGCTACTCCCCAATCAGAGAGTTTTTGGAAGACAAGTTTGTAGCTAGGTGCCATTGGCTATTTTTTAAATTACAGTTTAGTTAATTTAATTTAAAGAGCCGAGGTGGCGAGGTGCAGTTAGAGTGCAGTACTGCAGGCCACTTTAGCTGACTGTGTTCAGCAGGTCAGCGGTTCAAATGTCACCGGCTCAAGGTTGACTCAGCCTTCCATCCTTCCAAGGTAGGTAAAATGAGGACCCAGATTGTTGGGGGCAATGTAAATATAGATATACATTGCTTACTGGTGTACACCGCTTAAAGAGTGCTTGCACTTAAAGCGGTATATAAGCCTCATAAATAAAATAAAATAAAATAAAATAAAAAAAATAAAATAAAATAATAAAATAAAATAAAATAATAAAATAAAATAAAATAATAAAATAAAATAAAATAAATAAAATAAAATAATAAAATAAAATAAAATAATAAAATAAAATAAAATAAATAAAATAAAATAATAAAATAAAATAAAATAAATAAAATAAAATAAAATAAATAAAATAAAATAAAATAAAATAAAATAAATTTTTCCTAGCTTTACTCTCATTTTCATTTTTTTCTTTTCCTTTGAAGGCAATAGTGGGCAGGAGAATACAGATTCCAGCGAACCATTTCAAGCCTTCAGTCCTGGGGATGGAACGGAGAAGATTGCAGTTCAAATGAAACTAGAAAGGCCCGAGAGAAACCCGTCATATAATTGGAATCGGAAAAGCTCATCGCCCATTGACACGCGGAATCGAGACTTTCGTGCACCACAAGGAAAAACAAAGAACAAATATATTGGGGAAAACGTAACA